TCAAGAAATGTATTTCCCCTCATTTGTCTTTTTAGTAACTTTTGCGGCATCATCTTCTGATAAAAGGCCCTGCAAGTGTTACATGTGTTAGCTTACATTTTTAATAATATATAATTTATGTAAAAAAAAAAATACAAATATTTTGAAGAATATTTATGCACTTACACTAAATTTAATCATTATATGTTTTCTTTTTTATTAATCTTTTCCTCTTCTCATCTGGTATAGTGGTGACAATGTCATGCTCAGTTTGGGATGATGATGCATCCTGCATTTCACAGTCTTTCTCATTCTCTACAGAACAATGTGTTTTTTGTGTCAAAATTAATATATTAAAATAATTTATGGATTTGCAGGTGTAAAGCTTAACCTAAAAATTTGCATTGGAGGTCAATTTTTGTTTCAAAATTGTGAACTAGTCTTTTTCACATGGCAGTGGTGTTGGTAAAAATTTTTGCCCCAAACAGTATAACCCTGCTTTTTTACTTCTTTTTTTCTTGTATTTCAAACTCCCATTATTTTTAGATTTAGTCGAATCCTCAAACTTCAGAGGAAATTGCTATAGTCAAGGCATAACCATCTTTCATGAATCAGGTTGGATGCGTTGACCCATGGCACTTTCTCAATCCATCATGAAAAGATTTTTCTTTTTTTTCCAGTGTTCGATTTCATTCACACATTGATTATTTTTCTTAAATAAAGCTCTCTTACCTTTTATACTATAATTCTATACTTCTTTATAAGTTATACTTCTGTATATTCTGCTTTAGTCATCTCTGATCATGCTCCACCATACTTTCAACTGTCATGTACTCGCTGTGTCGCGGCACATCCGATGTGACCTGCTTTATTTTCTGTTCTCTTCTTACCTCCTCTACCGCGCTACTGTCCTCCGATGCATTCACACCTCCTCTCGTGAATATTTCAGTTAATTTGATACATTTGGCATTATCTGATTTTAGAGCCCTTTTCTTGCTCTCTTTGACCTTCTCAGCACCGCCTTTCCTTTTTTTACGGTCCATATTTGACATTAACGCTAGCTTGTGTTGCATTTACAGTTTGACTATTTTGCCAGATTTTGATTACATCAGCGTAATCCACAGCCTCTGATTGGGTCGGCCCATCTCGAGACCGGCCGGCCGTCGCTGATTGGTCCAAATGCTTAACATGTATCATTATTATAATTATCAATCATCATTATTAGTAGTATTATTATTATTGTCATCAACAGCAGCATTATATTCACATCTTGCAAGAGATAAAAGCTGCTAGCATGCAAAAACAATACATATAAAACATTTTTTTTGAAAACCTGACCGGCCCACATTTTAAAACTGCTCTGGCCCTTCTGGCATTTGCCAGAACTGCCAGATGGCCAGTCCGCCCCTGCTCCACATTCTCTTAAACCTAAATCTTTCTTATTCTAGAGGCCGGGCAAATCAGCGGAGGATTGAAACGTTCATGTTTCTATTACACTCTAATCCAAAGATTTGTCTTTTGAAGTCTGAAAAGAAATCAATGGAGTTTGATGACAAGGAGCTCAATTTTATTAATTTTTTTGCTAAGGCATGGTTACAGAGTAATCAATGAAAAACTTGTGTACAGTTGTTTGTTTGAGAGCATTAAGGTCTCTCCCCTCTCTCTACGACACTGCTATGCAAAGATCTGGCCCTGTTATAATGACAATCTACAGTATGGGATCACTTCTTGGGGTGCTCTGAATTGATTCTTTTATTTTGTTTGATGTGTACCAGGGCCTTTAACGAAAGCACAGCTAATAAATTGAATAAATAAGTAAAATGTATATATTTAATTAAGACATGCTGTGAATATACACTTGCGTGTTTATTTATTTTATTGTTAGTGATGCATTTTATACTCTGTAAATTTTCTGTTTTTCAAACCACTGATTTTGTGCTACACAGATTTAGGCCCAACCGCAATTCTATTTTTGTGTAATTATTATTATTATATTTTTTGTAAAAATTTTATATGCTTGTTTGTTGTAAAAAAATGTAACACTGCAAAAAAATTTATTAATTAAATGTGTGCATCCCCTGACTCGCATGAGTAGCCATGTTGCCATTGCAGTTGGTGTATTTGGGCTTTTTTTTTTTGTACCCCTTGGCTATCTAGCTCTTCACCTTAGCCCTGTGCCTTCAAGATGAAGATAATTGGGACAGCCCTAACCCTTCATGTGAAACACAAAACAAGGGGTAGAGGGCTAAGGGGTAAAATTGGGATTGGGCCTAAGTATTACTTACTGACAAACTGAAAAGAACCACAAGAGAGATAGACCTATGAACATAGACTTACATAATATTGATCCTCAAAAACCATACAGATTCTTTAAACAAATATACTTAGAGTGTCCTGATGTTATTTTAACAAGCCGGAAAGTCAGCCAGTCCTCCATTGGATTTTTATATTTTTTTATATGCTGACTTCACCTGTGCTTTTGGCCATCTCACAATTTTCTCTGCTTCCTCCATCCAGTTTCTTGGGATCACACCTTCAAAATGTTTGTCAGCCTTGATCCAAACTGCTCTTGCAAAAAACATGTCTGCAACTACAAATAGTCAACTTGAACAAATAAATAAATAATTCTGTAAGACCTGAGGCTTGAACCTCAGTCTCCACAATTCTGCCACAAAGCCATAGTGAGGAGTTGGATACAAACATAATGCGAACATGTTAATCAGTGTTGGGAATAATGGAGCTATAAATAAATGGAGTTATTAACCAGTTAAGCTCTGGGGCTATTTGGGGTAATTCTGCCTGAATTTGGCCTTCCGATTTAAAAAGCTTCCCATACCCACATGCAGAGGTGTAAATACAAAAAGTTTAGTATCATTTGAAAGGAAACCCTTTGAAATGTCATAAAATACAGTTGAAATTGAAAACAACTGTTGTATATATTGTCTGTATTATAATAAACATTTTTATAAACTGAAGTTTGGAAATGTGTAACTCAAGCCTTGAGTGGTCCAGCACCCTGGAAACAACTTTGTTTCTTTCCAGCAGGTGTCAGCAAACACATGAAAAAAATATTTTTTTTCTTTATAATAATTTATGCAAGTGTTATTCTATTCCAACTGCAAGGAGGAAAAATGCCTTTTTATTTATTTATAGATTTCTCTCCTGTGTGGTTTCTCATGTGTAGATTAAGTTGTGATGATTGGCTGAAACTCTTCCCACACTGAGTGCATGAGAATGGTTTCTCTCCAGTGTGGATCCTCGTGTGTATATTGAGAGATGATGATCGGCTGAAACTCTTCCCACACTGAGTGCATGTGAATGGTTTCTCTCCGGTGTGGATCCTCATGTGGTGATTAAGTGATGATGATTGGCTGAAACCCTTCCCACACTGAGTGCATGTAAATGGTTTCTCTCCAGTGTGGATCCTCATGTGTAGATTAAAGTTTGATGAGCAGTTAAAACTCTTCCCACACTGAGGGCATGTGAATGGTTTCTCTCCAGTGTGGATCATCATGTGAATCTTAAGATAGCCTTTTCTTCCAAAACTCTTTCCACACTGAGAGCATGTGAATGGTTTCTCTTTAGTGTGGATCCTCATGTGTTGATTTAGGTGTGATGAGCAGTTAAAAGTCTTCCTACACTGAGTGCAAGTAAATGGTTTCTCTCCAGTGTGGATCCTCATGTGTTTATTAAGAGATGATGATCGGCTGAAACTTTTTCCACACTGAGTGCAGGTGAAACGATTCTCGTCTCTCCTTTTCAAAATACCATCAGTCTGTAAATGAGTTTTTTCCTCAATTTTGACATGATGTTCCTCCTCTTTACTCCCCTCATACTCTTCAATTAGGTCTGAAATAAAGGAATAAAACATTAGTTTTCATTAAGTCTTAAAAACTCTCATCAAAAGCTGAAAAGTGAGAAGACACTGGAAATTTTAGCTACACACACTGTAATTTTGATGCACATTAAATGTAAAATAAATCAGATCTTATTTAGTTTGTTCCCTTAACGTGCACACATTTAAGCAAATTCAATTTAATGATCTTTATGTATCTAGTGCTTTTTACAATGTAAATTGTGTCAAATCCGCTTAACATAGAAGTTATAGTAAATTGAAACTGTTTCAGTTCAGTTTTCAGAGTTTCTCTTAAAAGTCATTTTGGTCCTATTGATAAGACACAGATTTGAAAAAAGAAAGAGGAGGAGAGTTGAAGTGGGCAGCATTATTTGGTGTACAGAAGAAAAAGAAACAATTGACTGAACTGTTGCAGTGCAGATTTTTTAATGTTTATTTATTTATTTGGGGGGGGGGGGGGGGGATCTCCATTCCCACACCACCGTTACTTTTCCCTGTTGGAAAAAAGGTGATTTTTACTATTGATCATCAGTTACAGTGCAAAAAAAGTAGATTTTCTGCCTTTTATATGGAGTATAGTGTGTGTGTGGGAGTGAGAAAGTGTGTGAGACAGACCTTTGCACACTTACCCTAAAAAAAAATAAAAAAAAACACCTCAGCTCTCAGAACACAGTAAACAGTTAGCTGATGGAGAGGATTCTGATGGATGTCTCCAGGATGGAGGAACCTGTGTAAATTCTCCTGTCTTTATGATTATTGATAAAGCTGAATGTTTAAGGTCCTAGATTATATGATGACCTCAGTGTCCTCCCTCTTTAGAATAAATATCGAATATTGTGCGTATAAGGCTGCACGATAACAGAAAAAAAATTATAATCCCAATTATCTTGCTTAAAATGTTAATTATTCTTTTAAGTGTGTATGTGTGTGTGTATACATGGTTTCCGCTACATCCATTCTTCCAAGGTGGAGCGCCAGACCAAAATTCTTTCTGCCATGGCTACATTACAGTTCCTTATTCAAAACATTCAGTCATGTTTTTTTTTTTTTTTTTTTTTGGGTACAAAACATCCATTGTGTGCATTCTTGACAGTTTGTTCCTGTGTTTTTAATTTTGTTTATATCGATATCGGAATTATAAAGTATCGACCGAAATTAAGAAATATATCGTGATATAAATTTTTGCCATATCATCCAGCCCTAGCTTCATTTAAGATTTACCTCAGATTTTGACTGACAGTTCCGTATGATCTGACGAGATGCTACACGCACAGACTGCTCTAATTAGTATGACATCCACATTGTAAAAAACATAGAAAAAAAAATAATTATAACAATAAAAAAATAAAAAAATCAAAGAGTAAAGGCTACATCAATATTTGCAACGCCGCATGAACTGTTTACTTAAGTCTCAAAACATTTTGTGAGCTCCGCCAGCCAAAATCATGTTACATTTTTAAGGTCTTAAATTTCCATTTTTATATTTTAGACTTTAAGACCCCACTGAAACCTTGCAAACGTAGAAGATCTTATAAATATTAAAATATATGCAAATTTATATCGAAATATAGGAAATGAGTTTAAAAATACCACCATTACTGAAAAAAATTCTATTGTGATATATATTGATATCGAAGTATTTTCCAGCCCTAAATGAAACAAGACAAGACTGCCCGACTCTCTTGTGTGTGTATTTACAATAGCAACCCAACGTTCTCCTCAGAATTTACATCAAGCTTACTTTAATACGAAATTAAAGCCGGTAACAAACATGAAGTACAATTGTGGTGCAGCATTAAGACGAATGCATTTAGTGACTGACAGGAGGCGTGGCTATGCAGGACCACAGTGTGTGTGTGTGTGTGTTCGCAAACTTGCTTTCAGAAAGGAAAGAAAGAAAGTGCTTACTACTGTGGGGCTGCCTCTGATGAAAAAAATAAATAAATAAACAAAAACGCTTAAATAAAGAAAAGAGGTAGAGAAAGCCCAGCTGATATTGCTTTATTGATCCTGTGGGAAAGCAATAATGAATCGGTTTTAATATTTCTGCATAATGTGTTGAAAAACTACATTGACAAAACTTAAACCCAAAATATTGATGGCTTTGGAAAATACATTCGGGGCTGATGCCACAAAAGCCCAACAAACCCCTCGCGCAACCCCTGATCAGAAATAAACACCAACCTATTTGTTGTTCAGAGTCTTCATTTTTAATTTTGCAGGGTTCTGGATCACTCATATTCCTGCTGTCCTTCAATAAACTCTTCACTGGAGCCTGATATGAAAATTCCAGTGTTTATAGCCGAACTGGAGGAGGAGGAGCTTCACTGGAGGAGGAGACATATATTTTAATTACATGTTGTTTGCATATATTTATATTTTCATGCCATATTAGCAGCACTATATCTATATTCATGGCAACACTTGTATTAAATATTCAATATATAATTGACAATCATAACTCTTTCTGAAACATCAATTGTTTTTTTAAACACACAAATAACAACAACACTCAATATCTTATAAGCTCTTTCAGTCTGATTAATGATAAAAAAGTAAACATTTGCCTTAAAAATATTTCCTGAATAAAAACATTCTCTAACATCATTTAAAATATATACATTCTATTAAGTTACACATAGGTTTTTAATGTGTGCAAGTCTTCAGTGGCTGATTCTACATCTCATAGTAAAGTTAAAGTTGGTTTTCTATTGGGTTATTCAGACATTCACCTCAATAATATAATTTCATAAAAAGTAGTTTTTGCAAATTCTAAATAGGGAAATAAAAGCCAATAATATCCAGCTGCAGGCCCGCAGAACCACACACGTTCTAGGCACACACAATCTAGGACACACGAATTAGGCTAACCATATGGTTACGACTGATGTTAATGTTATTAACGTCTTTTTGAACATCGTCATCGATATATTTTGATATATATGGTTAATAAATATTGTACACAATAAACAATAGTGTTTACTTTACTTTATTTCACAAATATTGCGATCGAGACGGGTGAATGGGGAGCATCGTTTCCGATCGCCATTCAATATAATAGACTAAACAGTTTTTAATTAGTCATTAGCTGATCAGTCATTATCTGACAATAATACGGCAGATACTCGTTTGCTGGCCTTGCTGAACGATCTAAATTGGACAAGTTTAATTTGTATAATGGACTCATTTATAATGAAAGAAATAGCAAGTTAATATCACAATAATACATTTTGGATAATAAAAATCATTTTACATGTAATAAATGTATGACACTATATTAATATTTTACTCAAGCGCTTTAATATTGTTTATTTGCTTAACTTTTTAATAACCTTTTAATTAATGATTTCCCACATTTAATACTGTTGTAATTTATAGTAAGCAATAAATTGTTTTTAAACCAAAATGTAGCAATAGGAACAAATTAACTATTAATAATTAATAAAAAAATATTAAGTAAATATATATATATATATATATATATATATATATATATATATATATATATATATATAACTAACAGCTGTGACAGTAAAAGATAGTAGTTTATATATAAACTTATAATTATAATCAGTTAAGATAATCAGTTTCTAACTATATATATATATATATATATATATATATATATATATATATATATATATATATATATATATATATATATATATATATATGGATATACAGTTTAAATTATTAACTTTAGTAGGCTAATTTATTTTTAAATGCTTTTTATATTTTAAAACAAAGTGATTTTAACCAAGTATGATAAGATTAAGATTCTGAATTAGTTTATTGCACTTAATCCTACAATTAGACAGTCTTTTGTGTTTTCTTTGTTTATGTGGACACATGAATAAAGTGATAAATGTCTTTAACCAATTATTTTTATTTACATAATTTGAGTTCAGAAACTGCAGAGATGTTAAAATGATCGTTACGGAATAATAACAATAATGACTGAAATGGGAAACCATACTTGTGAAATTCAATAGGTGGCGATAATGCTAAAGAGTTAGTTAGTTAGTTAGTTACCATATATGGTTAGCCTAAATCGTGTGTCCTAGATTGTGTGTGCCTAGAACGTGTGTGGTTCTGCGGTTCTGCAGCTGGATATATCTCATAAAAGCAGCCAATGACTATCAAAGTACAACACTATTCACAGTGAATTAGTGTTAATGTTGTTTTGAAGTCATACTCGCATGCTAATTTGAATATTCACGTAACACGATAAACAATATAAAGACTTGACTTTAAAACAACACAAAAATCTAGTCTGTAAAGAATGTTGTACTTTGACAATCGTTGGCTGCTAATATGATTTAAATGGGTAAAGTTGGTTTTATATACGCACATTCGTTTATTTAGAAGTCTCTATATTGTTTACAATGTTACTTTGAATATTTGATCAGAATTAGAATGCAAGTATGAGTTGAAAACAACATTAATACTGTTTATTTGACTTTGAACTATCTAATATACTGTAAACAATGTTGTACTTTGATAGTCATTGGCTGCTAATATGATTTCCCTATTAAGAATTTGCAATGAATATTTTTCTAAAATTATGTTAAGGAGAATGTCTGAATATCCAAATATAAAACCAACTTTAACCTGTAGATGACCCGCGATTAGCTGTTAACGCATTACAGAAGTGTTTAAAGCGTAGCATCAAGCTAAAAACAAGAGAGTATATTAGCATTAGGCACATAAGTAAAAGCAAGTTCAACCCGCAAGATAATTGCAGCACATCTGCGAACACTACAAAGGTCAGATATAATACACTTACTTTGAATAGATGCACAACACCCGTAACATAAGTGGAATTAAAGGTGATAAACAGCAAACAAACCTCTGTACTCTCTGCCTCAGACTGAGCGCCATGGGCGGGATATTTGCCTGCACGCAGATCAGCGAAAGCTAATTGGCTGTCTGTATGTGGCTCAGATAAAGCTGATTGGCTGCCTGTTTCTCAATCAGTCTTCTGACAACAGAGGGAAACATTGGTGGACAGAATAATTTTTCTTCTTTTTCAGTCTTTTTATAAAGTGGAAAACGGGGGAGAAATGTATCAGTAAGTGATGACTGCAACAGTAAGAGTCAAAAAAACTAAACAAAAGACTTTTATTCTGGCGTGGCGTGTGACGTTATGAGGCTGCGCCACTCATGCGATGTGATTCAACTGGAGAAAGGTTTGTTGTAAAGCTTTTACATGAATATAAACCGATTGATTAAAGTTTCAGGTTTTTCATCTAATGCTACTTTATGTACATGTTGACACTATTATTTTAACCCTTTAAACAACATTGTACTATTTTACTCACAGTAATGAGAGCTATTGTTTGAATAAAGTAACAGAAACGTAAGTAATAAGTGTTTTAATGAAATTTTAATTTATTAAATAGCATAATGTCATTCCATTCTAAGTATACATCACTATATATAAGAGATAGTGTACTAGTTTTAATCAGCTCATTTGTGGCTATTGTGTCTTGCTCAGACTTACCTGATTTATTTTGTTAATGACTCTCATATAAAGAAACTGTTGAAGCAAGTGTTGAAGTGAAGTTATTTTTATTCTACTCATTGTTTTATTAATTTTAAACAGGACATTTTTATTGTTTTGTTCATTTTAAACAGGATAAAGTGTCAAAACACAGAGGAAAAACTCCTTCTGAAGCGACTGATCTCCACACTGTTATAAAGATGGCGTTTATTAAAGAGGAGAGTGAAGATGTGAAGATTGAAGAAGCATTCACTGTCAAACAGGAAGATCTGCAGGAACAAACAGGTTGATTTTCATTCTCAAACACCAGCTCAGTCATTTGATCCTCATTCAGATATATTTTTAATAATAAGAATACTAAATTAAATCCATCTTGCAGCCCTAAAGCCCCTTTCACACATACAGACCTTTCCGGAAAATTACCGGCAATTTTCCGGAAAGGTGTGTATGTGTGAACGGGCCCTTTTTGAAAATACCGGTAAATTCGTTCCGGCTATTTTCCGGAAAGAGAAGTTGTAACATCACCTGTATAACGAATAATTATTTGAACAATAAAAAAAATCAAAAAGAGTAAAGGCTACATCAGTATTTGCAATAGAAAAAAAGTTGTTTGAGTAAAATAAAAACAAAAAGTACACTCACAAAAAATACTCATGTTTTTTTTTAATTTTATTATGTCCACTTAACAATTCACACATTACAGTCTGGCTCGTTTCTGTCCTGTACTTATAAGCTAAAAAGGCAATATTGGTCCAACATTGCTGACCTATTTTACCAATAAACCCTAGAGAAACAGGGCATCAATATATTGTAAACTAATAGGTTCATGTATTCCTTTCCAGTTACAGTTGAAGTTAGAATTATTAGAATTTCTGTTTAACAGATTTTTTTCAAAACATTTCTAAAACATGATAGTTTTAATAACTCGATTCTAATTTATTTTATCTTTGTCATGACAGTAAATAATATTTGACTAGATATTTTACAAGACACTTCTATACAGCTTTAAGTGACATTTAAAGGCTTAATTAGGTTAACTAGGCAGGTTAGGATAATTAGGCAAGTTATTGTATAACAATGGTTTGTTCTGTAGACTATTATAATGGTCATATAAGTCTTAAATTTAACTTGGTGAAACCTGCAGAAACACTGGTTTAAAGTATGTCAAAAAACGTGGATGCCCCCAATATTAAACATGCTGAATGAAATGAACACTAAAATAAATAATTATTATAAAACACTGTACAGTATTCTAATCTATATTAATGTTGCTGTGGGACAACATGAGACAAAACAAACAAATTATAGTGGAACAATAACGTCAGCATTGCCCGTGGTGGATTTAGGCATGCGCAATATTGGCGATCGCCCCGGCGGCATTTAGTTGGGGGCGGCATGGGAAAACGGTGCAAAAAAAACACATACCCTAGTAAAAGCATTGAGATACGATTACTATGCAAGTGTATTGGTGCGGTAGGTGATCTTCCACAATGCTAACAGCTTAGCATAAATCTCTGAATCACAGTCCCTCCCCTGCCGTCTAGAGCCACACCTCCTTAAACACGAGCACAGCAAAAGAACCCTCTCTAATGCAAGACAAGTGCTTGTCCGGCAGCATGCAAGCCAAACTGACATGCTATTTCAGAGTGAATATTAGTTGCATGGTAAACAATATAGGGAAAGACTAGGCGTAATAGAGGTATTTACTTGTGTTTCGTTAAACTAATTAAAATCTACATTATCGATGCTGTAAAAGATCCCTTATGAAACTGAAAAAAGTCTTATCAATCTTTCACTGGAAGATTTTAGTGGCTAAACAACACTTCTGTGAAGATATAAGCCATTTGTAGGAACAACAACATCTAACGTTACGTCAGCTTTGCGTAAAGCTAAAACAGTTTTAAAACAGAACATTACCTGTCTAAGAGAAATCCTTCAGCCATTGTGTCATCCTTTCTCCAGCGTGCAAAGGTAACCAATATTGATTCAGATTTTGAAAAAGTTTTGATTCAGCAGGTTTTTACCGATTGCGTGCTCGTGCTCTCTCTCTCTCCCTCTCGTGAACGAGCAGCACATACAGTGGTCCACCGGAGCTGCGTACAAAAGGCTGCGCAGTTGTTCAAATCTGCATTTGTTGACAAACAGTCTGAGCTACTTATCGGAATTATGAGAGATGTCGGCCGACTATTTAATTGGATGAACATTTTTTAGTTTTATGCCTTACCCAAAATATAAAAATACAAATAAATACATTTAGACCATTTACTTTAATCATTACTATTGGACTGTGATGAGACTTTCAACCAGCACAAAAAAAAATGCTTCTGAATACAATCACCTACTGCACCTTTAATTTAGAGTGGCAATCCCAGAATAAAGACGCTTGGGGCCAATTACGTTTGGCATCTTTTGCACGCGCAAGTTTGTTATTCTCTATGTGCAATTGAAACAACGCTAGTGAAATCAAACTGATGCATGCATATAGAAAACCATTTCTGCGCACCTCACACACACTCCTGTGTGAATCCCGGTTGTTTGCATGCACACCAATAAAATACGCGCTGCTCATGCGCCATGAAACCGAATTAACAGCCTTTTGTGCAGAAGTGTCGGCATGCAGCGAGTTTTGCAAAGTTTATCTAAAGTTTATGTAACATGATGATGGTGTTACAATAACTAAGCATGGCTATAAAGCAGAAAGGAGGGATAAAGAGTCAGAGAGGTCAGGGAAGACTTCATAACATTAATTCTCGCCCATGAGTCAGGTTTAAGACAACAGATAATTTGGTTAACACTTTACAATAAATACACACTATGAACCATTTATTATGCATTAGCTAATAGTGAATTCATTATCTGTTTAGCATTTACTCTACATTAATAAGCGTTAGTAAACAGTTTAAAACTGCAGCTACATATCCTGTATTCCTGACTTACAACCACATTTATAATGTGCTTAATATTTGTACTTTCATACTTTGTTAAGGATTATTTTTTATTACTAAATTAATTTTGGGGAGAGAAGCACAATGTATATGATAAGTGGGGGCTGAGTGGCCAGAATTACAGTGGCAGGCCAGATGATCGTCGGGCCAAAGGGAAATGTCCTTATATCTCCCTATGGCCAGTCCGCCCTTGAGTTTTACTGTTTTCTATTGTTTATTATTACTGGTCATTTCTTCAATAATTGTAAGTTCTAAAACAATAGCATATGACATCAGGTCACTGCTATGATATGATTGACAATTTATGTATGTCACTGTTTGTCATTGTGCTCTGTTTATTCTGAGAGCTGATGCTGAGTATTCTTAGAGCTTTAGACTCTTGAAATTATTAACCCAGGGTCATTCTAACACTGGATAAACAGAATCCTGTATTATCTATAATCTCGTTCCACACTGCTCATGCTATACCTGGTGTTCATTAACAGACGTTTCACATTCGCAAACCCCGGGTTAACATTGTTATTTGTATATTTATGTTTGTCGATGTCCCTGACTGGACAAACAGCAGGTCATCTTTTTAGATGGCATTTCTGGCATTTCTTGTCGGGTTAACAATATCTGCAAATCAGGAGAAATACCAGCCTTTTAGAAAGTAGCTATTATTATACCAATACCAAAACCAGAAAAATATCATTTAAATAATTATCGTCCAACAGCACTTACCAGTTGCCTTTGCAAAACAAGGGAACGAATGATTAATGATCAATGGTGTGGATTTTAGAAAAACAACAGAAGATTAATAAATATCAGTGTGGGTTTAGAAGAGGGAAAAGTACTCTTGTATATCTTATACGATTAGAATCTTTTGTACGAGATCGTTTTATTAAAAAACAACACATACGAGCAGTTTTTTTTTTTTATCCGGAAAAGGCCTTTGACACTACCAGGAGGTGTGGTATTTTAAAAGATTTACACGAGATGGGTGTTAGAGGAAATTTGCCTAATTTTATTGAGTTTTTCGTGTGCGTATTTACATTTACATTTAGTCATTTAGCAGACGCTTTTATCCAAAGCGACTTACAAATGAGGGCAAGGAAGCAATTTACACAACTAAGAGCAACAATGAATAAGTGCTATAGGCAAGTTTCAGGTCTGTAAAGTCTAAGAAGGAAAGTATTAGTAGTATTTTTTTTTTTTTTGGGGTACAGTTAGTGTGATATTCAGAGAGGCAATTGCAGATTAGGAAGTAAAGTGGAGACTAAATAGTTGAGTTTTTAGTCGTTTCTTGAAAATAGCGAGTGACTGCTGTTCTGATGCAGTTAGGGAGTTCATTCCACCAACTTGGAAGATTGAGCGTGAGCATTCCGATAGTGATTTTTTCCCTCTTTGGGATGGAACCACGAGGCGACGTTCATTCACAGAACGCAAGTTTCTGGAGGGCA